AAACAACTACAAGTTGCTGTTTAATACCCTCATTTGGGGGCTAAGACACCTCTTGAAAACGCAGCAATGACTCGTTATATCCCAACAGCTTTTCTTGTTAGTTGGTCTCTAACAGTGGTCGGCAGTGGTTCACAGCTTGGCTTGGCAGAGTTAGTTGAACAAACCAACCAGCAGCAGAGTAATAATATTCCAAACAGGGTTAGGGTTAGGGTTAACCTCTTCCACTCACTGTTGGTTGTAATACAGCCCAGTCAGCCAGCTGCTCATAGTGAGTAACTGGATACACTCACAGGCAGCTGAATGGACCTTGCTGGTATTTATTTCTTATGTCCATGGAAGATAATGAAATTGCCTTCAAAAAAGAAAAAAGGAGAGCCCCTGACTTCAATGGCTTCCTCCTACTCTGTGTTTCTCTCCCTCCTCCTCCTCCTCCTCCTCCTCCTCTGTTCTCTCCTCTCTCAGCCTCTATGGGCCTGCTAAGTCAATTTGTATTGACTTATTCCAGTGCCCATTAAGTTCCTTTCTATTAGTGGTCATAATAATGAAATGGATATGAGGCAAATACACAAAGTCCTTTCTCAGCTGTAAGACTCCTGTCAGTTTTCCCACTGGGTTCTATAATAAATCAGAAACTAATTTTTAAAATTGTTCTGGGCGAGTAATTATTGCCTCTTCTGCAGCTTTAGGAAGTGGCCACATAAAGTAGCAACCAACTCACAAACAAGTGCATACCATCAGAGTTTCCTAATGCTAATGTATTAATAACAGTACTATGTTTTAACAGTAACTGGATAATTAGCTTTAGGAGTGAGGTGCGCCTTGTCTGGAAAAGAGAAAAGACACTCTCTCCAAGGACCAATGACATCTGTGTGTGCCTGTGTTGACAAAAAGCCCTCTGTATTTGTCCCACACCTTCACTTAAACACCTTCACTTAAAATGTTAAATATGCACGCTACATGAGTGGTGTGGAGTACTGAAATCATCTATTAGTCCATCTGAACCACGTGAGAAGCAAATACCAATAAAATTGTAGCTGTGTGTGAGGTGCTTTTGCTACTATCCAAATGATTTCAACATGACATGAAACTTTAATGATCCCTGTGGGGAATTTGGGGATTTGCTACTGCACTACGTCCAAGATACAGTGAATAACATAGGCTACATAAGATAATCTGAGGTGCAGCTGATGTGAGTTTGAAAACCAAGTTCCCATTTTTCATGGAATCCATCAATACTACTAATTCAGACGGGATTTATTTCTCTATAGGGGAGGTGGGATGATTTTAACAGTACCTGCGCTGATCAGTGGCTTGAATTCCCAATGGAAAGTGTATTGATTGTTTGACATCTATTCTGTTGCTAGGGCAACAGGTTTGGACCCTGTTTACTTCCTGTCAGCTACCAAGGAAAATAAAAATATCAATCTTTTATTTTCCATGACATCTACTGCATCATGGGTCCTCCTGGAAAAAATCACACCCAGAGCGATGTCCTTGCATCTTCGAATGGATCTGTGAGTATTTCCCACAGGAAGAACGACTTGCTCTTCTACTTTCGGTCAAAAACATTTTTGCTAATCAAATCTAAGATGCAAACATGCTAACACCAAGATATATGCCGACTTGCAGTGTTGGGGAGAATAATGTACTAAACATGACGTTTAACTACACCTGCAGCAGCTCGCTGGTAGTTCAACTACATTCATATTTGCAGAATTAGTTTTTTTATGCCATCTCTGTGTGGTTAAGTACAAAAGTGACAAAAAAATGAGCCCTTAAAGGAAGGGAATGTTTCTTTATTCCATTTTATTTTAAATTACCCTTGTCTCTCTACTGTAATTGAACCCTGCCTTTGACCAGCTTTCTTTCATCCTGAATGCTGTGAAGACATGTAGAAGGCAGAATTTGTAAAACTGAACTTGAATAGATCGATTATTGCTATTGATTAACAAACGTTCAGAGAAGTTTTTGCACACTTTTCAAAACCTGGCTACTGGCTGGACACTGGATACTAGTTTCTGAAGGCCATTGTCTGATGGACATTGGATACAAAACCAAAGCTGACATTTCTTGCACCATCCCATGAAAAGTGAGGTCTTATATTTCTATTTTTTGGTTTATGTATGACCTGTGGTATCCTTTGCGCAACATGTTGGTGAAGATTCTCAGTCATCCAGGTCATGGTAATCATAAATGTTATATAGTATAGGCAACTGGACTTGCTTGAGTTTCTTGAGGATGTTTCACCTCTCATACAAGAGGCTTCTTCAGTTCTGCAGAGCCTTTATCACTTGATGCCTACGATACAGCGTTTAAGACCCAATAAAGTGGCATTTTATGCTGGGCAGTGACTTTTTTTGTGTTATATTTTGTTATAATTTCACATCACAGTAGCAGACGAAAAACAGCAAACAGCACATGAATGGCTGTCGGAGTAGTAAATAACAGTGGTTAAGTGGTTCCATTATCCCACTTAAACACATGAGCGATAAGTAACAATCAATGCATGGCAAATGTGGATGTGTAAATCAGTCCTTTATTTACATCTTGTACTGCATTAAGTCCTTTTTAATGTGATGTATTTGCCAGTAACCACTGGAGGACTCACAGTATCACCTGGTAAATAACACTTGGTCATGTGATCATTTTCAACCTTTATTACTTGATGACTGACCGCAGCAAAAGTCCGGAGAACTTCCACTGACAATCACCCAACACCAATCATCAGCAACACAAGAGTTCAGGTCACATGACGAATTCAACACTCTGGCTGGAATTCAGTTTTATTCCAATGGTTTTGTCTAATTTAATTTTCTAAAATGAAGTAATCAGGATCAGTCTCGTCGTCCATTTTCATTATCAAATTGGACTCAGGCTAGACAAACTAAATGCGTATGCTGTATAATAATTAGCGGGCAGTTTGCAGTTGCACAGATGAATTGTTTATTATTGATGACATTAGCCAGCAACACATCGGGAACACACCATCAGTCATCTGTGCCAGTCATCTGTTCATCCAAGTTCAGCAAAATGAGCAAAGAAAATGATCAGACTTTTCATAAGTGCAGATAATTGCTCACAGTTTGTGACACAAACCTTCACGTAAGGCCTAAACCAGGTCTCTGACATAGAAACCATTTGACAAATACGAAACTGTGCAGCCCAGCATTATGTAAAAAACACATCATCAATACTAAATTAAAGGTAATTCATCAATTTGAAATTAAGTCCATGTACGTCACACGTTCCTTGCTCTCTCTCTTCATGTCTCCAACAGCAGCTCTGCATCACTCACTATCTCGGTCTCGTCTTATAGATTCACATTTTCCTCCATCTCACCTTCTCACCCAGCCTGCCATATTTCATCACACTCACACACATCTGTGTTTTGTCAGCTGTGTGCACCCCATTTATTAAAACTAGAGGATAAGGTAGGGAAAGCTGGGAGGCCAGTGACAGCCGAACCAAACGAGGATGCAAAAAAGAAAGCAATGAAGATAGAGAATGACGCGGGTGTGGGATGGGAACTAGTTGAAAGGATGAACAGAAGGAGTGGGGGTGACATCTAGAAAATAAAAAAAGAGAAAAGAAAAAGTGGCTGAAATGAAAAATCATGTTTGCTTGAAACATCATGCCTCCTCATTCGTCTTTCTGATTGGCTTCTTCCAGAAAAAATACATGAATCCGCCTATCACACAACAGAAGACAATTCCATAACGGTGTTACCATGGATACAGCGTTAATAAACCTTAAAAACGATGATAAATGCAAAGAACTGCTTATTTTTCATCAAAAACACCTCCATCTTTGCTTGATTTCTGAATCCGTGCAAGCGGCACTGCTTATTTTAGGACTGAAGGTGCAATGAAGAAAATGGACACGCCCATTTTTGCAGCCAACAGAAACAACAATAATATGGGAAGGTGCTTTAAAAAACAAAAATGCACTATCTGCAGAGAGAAAAAACAAGCACACAGCGAGTGATAACCCTCGTCTAAATGGAATATGTAAGATTAGAAATAGGCAAGAAAAAAATGGATGGAGGATGAGAGGGAGGGAGCTGACAGAGTGAGATGGAGGTGAGCGGGAGATGAGTCAAAATAGAGGGGTAGGGAGAGACAGACAGAAAGAGATAGACAGAGAAAACAAGAGATGGAGACTAGCAGAGGGAGAGAGACAGGCTGATGGAGGCAGAAAATCCAGGTTGAAATATAGTCAGGGTGGGAAGAAAATACATAAAGGGAGGGAGCTGGTGATAGAGAGATGTTAAGAAAATGGAGGGACAGGGTAGGGAGAGACACAGACAGCAGAAAAAAAGGGAGACATGCAGAGAGCGAGGGGAAAGAGGAGAGGAAAAGGCGTTCAGACAAGCGTGAAGCATCAACAATAGAGGCTAACAAAGAAAATCCCAATGGAGGCATCAATCACTGCTCCACTTATCCCTCCTCCCTCTGATTTTTTAGTCTTTATTGCAAGGTTTTGCCCCACGCTCTATCACCCTCTTCTACCCCCTTTCCTCCCCCCCCTGCCACTCCCACCTCCTCCGTCCATCCATCCATCCATCCATCCATCCATCCATCTGTCCATCCATCTGTCCGTCCAGCCTCCAAAACAACACCAACCCTCCAGTGTCTGCCATCTCCTCTCATCCTCAACCCAAACAATCTGCTTATTTATGCATCCATTCATCGAAACACACAACAAAATAAGGTTATATAATCTGTGCTGTTATCATAAGCAGACATAGATGGGCATGATTAAAATTCACAGCCTATCGTGTCATTTCTGCTGAGATGAAATGATGAGGATTTGTGCAAATAAAATGAACAGGCAAAAATCTATTTTTTTTCCTGCAGGACATGTATGCTGTCTTCTTTCTCTCTGCCCACAACACACACAAAGGAATCCCATGATACCGAGAGGAATGGATGAACAGAACAATGGCACAGCTGATTAGAGATAAAAAAAAATTAAAAAAGCAAATTAATCTTCCATCTTACCTTTCTGGCTTTGTGATTCATCCATGTTTTCCTCCATTGTGGCAAGTTACAGTCCCTTTGTCTCTATTTAGTGTGAAGCTGTTTAAAGCCCCTTGCTAGCTCTCGGCACAGTGTGCGTGTGTGTGTATGTGGGAGGCTGTGTGTGTGTGAGTGTTTTTTTCCCTCCCTGTAGATGATGGAGGCTCAGGGAAGTCCCTGTTTCAATGCTCCGCTCTCTCTCTTCTATCCTATCTGGGCTTCTCTAGCATCCTAGCCCCTGTATCTATCTATAGCTGAAGCTTTCCACACAGATATTGATTTAGATCATGTATGTGGCAAAACATAAACAACCTGAATTTAAACAGAAAAAAAATATATATATTTTTGTCATATTTTTGTGTAAAATTACCTCTCTTACACTCAATTGAATTTAATTTTCATCATTGGGACATTATTGGAATAAAAATTAAATAAGGTGTCAAATACACATAATGAGCCAAGTCAGAGTAAAAAAAAGGAAACTGTTTGGTGTCAGTTTACATTCACTCTATGAGTAAGGCACTCTGGCAAGATCCAAGAGCTGCAAACCCAGACACATAAAGAAAGCATACATAGATTAGAGGGAACACCTTGAAAGCATCCTTAAATTACAAGACGTCTCTGAGCAAAATACACTGCAGACACCAACAAAGAGGAAGCATCAAACAAGGCAGCTCCACTGAAATGGCAAAGCCTTCAAATGATGTGTAGTATCCTACAATAGGCATATGATGAAAACACAGGTACCACAAGTGTAAGTTTTCCAGACTTCTCACAGAAATACACTGTGAGAGATAGAAATCTCTCTCATATACTTATATTCATTGTGTATTTTATCCTAAAGCTCTACAAGTTTTTAAAAAATTAGGGTTCAAGGTGTCGCTCTCTGAGATTTCGGCCCTGATCCCAGTACAGTGGAAATGAATGGGTTTCACTGATGGTGCTCACAGCATTGTAAAATTCAGTTCAGAAAAACTGTCTTCATGGCTAGTAGAAAAGAATTCAGGTGAACTATCTGACTTCAAAATAAGTCAAAATATCTGCACTTTATGGGGGCCGAAAAGTGACACAGGAATATATACATAAATGAAAAAATAAATTACTAGAAAATGACTGTGATTGATTGAAAATAAATTTCAATTTTGCAAATAAATAATAATATGATAATAAATATGATTTGTACATGTATTAAGCCCCATTGTCTTAATAAATGTGCATTTAAAAAAAATTACATCAATTTCCACATTTATTTATTTCCAAATTTATTTCTAGACATATTTATTGCCACATATTTCATGGGACATATACAGTAGGCATTAGTGGTCAAACATGGATTCATCATCAGGTTGGCCTCTAGTTCAGCAAGTGTGTCCACCCCCTGTAGGCTGAGTCATTTGCAGTGACCCTTTGCTCTGTCATCCCCGTTTTCTCTCCCCATTTCCTGTCACTCTATAGCTGCACTGTAATGAAGCCAATTAAAGCCCAAAAACTAATCTTTAATAAAAAACATATAATCATCAACCCCAATTTGAGTCCAAAACCATAAACCTGCATGCTGTTGATGTCTTTTATGTTCAAAGTACGACTTGTGATTGCAGTCTCCACAGGACCGGGGGGAAAGAGCCCTGTATGTGGCGCCATGTAAATACCAAATATTTCAACGCTTGTGCCGATGTTGTGTCCAAGTCTGTCCTTGTCAATGTGTGTTTCCCCTTAACGTAAATCTAACCATGTCCCTAACCCCAACCAGTTGTCTCTGCTGTATCTGACCCCAGTTATCTGCTCCACATCTAACCTAACCTAAGCCACAATGCAAACAGCAGATTGCAGTGGTAAGGTAAACAATGTTCTGATGACATAAAACATAAACCGTAAAAATAATGGACGTAGCAACCTCGGCTTCACCCATTAGTTTGTGGACTACTGATTTGAAGCCTTGCGCTCGGCATTTCAGCCATCATCACTGTGGATTTTAGGAGCCAGAAGTGTCCATATTTTGCTGAGAGGCTTACACTGTGGAGGAGTGATGGGTGGATCTGACTGAGAAGCCAAGGACACTATTGGCAGACAGCCTGTCACTCAAAGCCACCCGCCTTTAATTATGTGTAATTTTAAGCCTTAGTCAAATGTAAGCAGGTCAGTTATAAAAAAATTCTAAATTAGCCATAGAGACCAAAACTGTTTTTTGTACTAGGGTGGTGTTAAGTCAGACATTTTAATATGAGTGTCTACAAGGAATGACCATCTTCTGGAGCCAGCCTCAAGTGGCCGTTCAAAGAACTGCAGTTTTTGGCAATTCTGTGTTGGCTTGGATAGAAACGATATCGAAGTGCGAGAGACGACAGACTTTGACGCGAGCTGCAACTTCACTGCATGGCAAATGACCAAAATACCTGGCGTGGTGCAAAAGACCCAAAAATCTCACTGTTCTAACAACTAAGAGAAACAGGCCTACCTCCTGTTGTCCCTGGCAAACATGCCCATGCAAGCCCATTGTGGTCAAGTGTGGGTTTACTGTGGGCAAAACCGATATTAATCCCATGTGTATGGTGCAGAGTAAGGGTCAAAATTAAGACTACTGTGAAGTCAGCAGAGGCCATATCCTTGCAGAAGCCTGCTACTGATCTGGTCAATGATAAGTCAGTGCCAGCAACTGAGAGACCAGCTCTGGGAAATGAGAAGCCGACTACTCTTCGACCAAGGTGGTAACTCGTGCATCTAGGCTAGCAACCCACTGGAACTCTATGAGCTTGGCTAGTTAGCATCCAAAGCTAATAACTAGCATACCAAAGCTAGTAACCCATAAAATAAGGTGATGGCTCGGCTGGTCATTAACTTCTGAGGCTGAAAACTAGCACGTGGAGGCTAGCAACCCACTGGATCGGCTACTGGCTTGGCTGTTTGGAGTCCAAGGCTCATAACTGGCATGCTAAGGCAAGTTACCCATTTAATCAGTTACTGGCTTGGCCAGTCATCAGTATTTTTTTCTTCTCCATTTCCAGCAGCATAGTCACCAACTTCCCTTTGGTGACAGTTTATTTGCTGCTTAGAATGTCCATGTGCACAAATTATATCTTGACTATGGGCATCCAAGTGGCTGACCAGGTAGAGGCTACATCACTAAGGTTGAGTCTTTACCACAATGGCATTACGGGTTCCAGTCTGACCTGTATCCTTTGCTGCATGTCATCCCCCTTTCCTCTGCCTTTCATGTCTCTCTTTCTTTCTATATCAAAATAAAGCAGAAAGGCCAAACATATATCTTGACTTGAAAACATGTAAGCCATGCAACTGCTCAGTAAATGTTATGTTGAATCGTTGTTAATAGAGACCATTAGCAGTAACGTGACTGAATTATTTGGCCTTGTTGATGCACTTGTATTTTTGTCATACCATTGTTGCTGGTGTGATTTTATGCTGCTGTCCTGTTTCCATTGGATGCTGCTATTTGATCCTGTCTTGGCTACATCTAACCTGTAAAACAGGTTTTAATTTCAGTGTGACTTCCTAGTCAAATAAAGGTTACATATAGTCTTCACTGAAACCAGCTTTTACTGTAACTACCAATTACATTTAAACCTACACCAGTTAGTTTACCCAGTCAAGCCCAGTTGTTAAGTTGCTTTTCTTTTTCTGTGGGTTATAAATATATGAATTTATAGTCCGACTGATTATGTGTGAAAAAGATCTGGTGCAGCAGAGTTTGCTTGGATGGATAGTGGAATAGATTCGTGTAGACAGGCCGTTAGATCTGCACTGGACTGCATGTGAGCTGCAGTTTCATCTCACTGCCAATAGATGTCACCATGAACACAGTAAGTCTATCAAGCCAGTCAACATTAACAGGGCTGCTGGGGTATCTCAAACAAAACTTAAGTCATTAACAGTGTTGTAAAGACTGGAGAAATGTCTCCCGTAAGGACAAGTGATGTTACTTCGCCATTATAGCAGAAGTACTGGTGTAAAAATCTAGGAAAGTAAAAAGCAACTCATTTAAGATGTACCAGACTCAATGTACTCAAGTTACGTTTTACAAAAGAGAGCGGTTAGTCTTCCATTTACTGACCATTCTCTGTGAATGGCTGCACAGTTTGTCAGTTTACAATCATTCAGTTTCTGTGGTTTAGGAGAGCCACAAAATGTGTGCTCTGTAATGATGTGATTTAAAATGTAGTGAGTGACAAGCACACAAAAATGCTTCTCAATATAGTAAAGTGAGTAAATGACATTAGTTATTTCCACCCTTTCTTGTGAAGACTTGTTTAATTTATTTAACCCACACAACATGCTGAAACATGACGGGGGCTCTGCTCGATTCTCAATTCTTTATGACCCGTGGGCAGGGTGAGGTATTGAATCAACAGTGTACTTCCTCATTCTATCAGTAGCATGCATCCTGTCAAAACCAAATACCCTAAGTTATATTTTGGAATAACTTCAGACCTTTGATTAACATGTTTTTCATATAGCTTATGTTTGTTGTTTTGCAAAGCTGCACCACAAGTCTCCACTGAGTAGCTGAACAACACACAACACAAAATGGATTGACATGACAAAGTGTCGGTGAAAGGCTCACTGGATAACATTTTTACAAGCCATGACAACGCCTGGTTTAATTATCACCTTGGGAGTTCTTGTGTGTGTTGTCATGGCAAAATGTGCCCCTGGAAACACTTATTGTGGCGGGAACTACCACAGAAGCAGTTTTGAGTACTTTGCCAAGTGTTTATGTTGGTCTGTGAGAAGACATTGTCACCATGATGGTGTCACAACCATGCTGCTGTCTTTACAGATGTGCAGTAACGATCACAATCAGAGTTTAAGGGCATTAGGTAGTCTCAAAGCTTCCAGGTTGATGGCCGCCTCAAAATGGGAGCTTGCTGCAAACGGGTCTAAATTGTTTCTCAACAGTCCATTGACAGAACGTGCTAGTGGGTTTGGGTGTTCTGGCATGGTAATGTCAACCTCAGGATCAGAGGCAGGTACAGATCCTTCCCAGCAGATGCTCCATACAATGAGGCTAGCCTGGTCGAAACGGACACAACAGATACAGGAATTGTAATCACAGTATTGTAAAAATGACATGCAAAAACAATGGCAACGACAGTTTAGAAAACACATTAAACACATAAAAGCAAAGTTAAGTTCTCAAGACGTAACTGGAATTACAAGCAGATCACACAGTGTGAGTTGGCTGCTCTACACCTTTTACCTGCCCAGAGATCCAAAGCTGCTGCTGAAATTTGGTGTTGGTCTCAAAATCGTCGAAAGACTCCTATCCAGACATCTGCACGCAGCCCAAAATGTGTGACCACATAAACTGTGCTTGCTGCAGATGGTTTGCCAAGCAGGATAGAAGAAGAAAACAAATGCTGGATGCTTGTTTTGGGTTGTGAGAAGAGATCTGATGTCACCCACATTTATATAATTGGTCTTAAAACGAATACAAAAACAGCCGGGAATAGAGTGCTGATCAGGAAATGTATGTGTTGAACGCCAAACCATCGTAGTAGATTGTAGTATGAATGGAACCATATGTACATCTGCGAGACAGGTACAAGTCCACAGCTGTCTGCAGACATTAAGCATGGAAAGTATTTAGTGCCAAAGGTTTTTTTTTCTTATTGTTTTGTTTTAAGAGATTAAACAGTTCTTGACAGCACATATTTTGTCATTTGTCTGATTCTGGCAATGGCACTTTAATAACAGTTAACATACACTTTACATTTGTTCTGACCTGTGGTGAACCTGTTTGAACATAATACAATGATGTAATAAATGCATCTAAGTAACTCAATATTTGAGTGCTTTTTTAACAATACTTTTTTACCCTCACTCACGTATTTATTTTCATGGGTTCTTTTACTTGAGTCACTATGAATGAAAAAATACTTAAGGATCATTTTCATTTACACTAATGTAACATCCCCTTTTAAAAACAGGAGAAAGAAGATGATAACGTGACAACCAAAGTTTTGAAGGAGTCATAGTAGAAGTGAGAAGTGATTTATTGTCAAATCAGCAAACATAACACACAGGGTTCTTAAAATGGGGAAGATGAGACAAAGTGGCCGTGCCAAACATATAGAAATCAGCAAAATTAGGCCTGACGAATCCATGCCTCTGAAAACAGACACTCACCCAAAGACTTAACTTAATTATCTCAATAAGAACTTTACCAAAACAAATCTACGTCCCTACGTGTACACTTACCTATGGTCTTGAGCTCTGGGTAGTGACCGAAAGAATGAGATCGCAGATACAAGAGGCAAAAATGAGTTTCCTCCGTGGGGTGGCTGGGCTCAGCCTTAGAGATAGGGTGAGGAGCTTGGACATCTGGAGGGAGCTCGGAGTAGAGCCGCTGCTCCTTCGTGTTGAAAGGGGTCAGTTGAGGTGGTTTGGGCATCTGATCAGGATGCCTCCTGGGCGCCTGGGGGTAAACCAAGATCACGCTGGAGGAATTAAATACTTCATCTGGAGTGGGAATGCCTTGGGGTCACCAAGGAGGAGCTGGAAAGCGCTAGGGAGAGGGACGTCTGGGGTGCTTTGCTTGGCCTACTGCACCCGCAACCCAGCACTCTCGGATGAGCAGATGAAAATGGATGGATGGATGGATGGATGGATGGATGGATGGACCAAAACAAATACAGAGTTGGCACCAACCAAAAATCCAAGAGTTTCTGGACAAAAATGAATCATGTGAGTGAAGAGTGAACTCAACTCACTCATAGTCATCAACCTCCCACCACATGCCTCTAATATTCATGAGAATGTTGCTCAACACAGTGCAGCAACAGCTCAGGTAAACTAAGAGCAGGAGGTCAAGAAGATGAGGAAACTTCTTCGGTGTGCTCCTTTTACTGAGAACCCTGGATGATGATAGGCCAGCCTAAAGTCTGAGGGGACCAGAGCAGACTACTGGACTGCACGGGTGGAAACCAATCATGTTGTTAGCACCTGGAGAGAAAAGAGGGGAGGGAGAAGAAAGACAAGCAGGGGGAATGAAACACAGCATAACAGGCAATTTGTCTGAGATGCCCCAGCAGCTGTACTGGTTGCCGACCAGCATGATAACTTACTGTGTTTATGGTGACATCTATTGGCAGTTACACAAACCTGCACCTTGTGTAGTCCAGTGCAGATCTAATGGCCTGTCAACATGAATCTATTACACCATCCATCTGGGCAAACCCTGCTGCACCACATCTTTCTAAGATATAATCAGTTGGACTATAAATTCCTATGTATTTATAACCCACAGAAAAGGAAAAGGCAGCTAACTGATGTAGGTTTCAATGTAATGGCTAATGGTCTTTATTAACTATTAAGAATAAGATTTTCTTGGCAGTTATGTAGTGTGAAATGTAAGGCTGCCTACTCCACCCTGTAATGACTGCAACCTTATTTTAAAAGTTGATTTTAAAACATTTCAACGAATCTTTGCACCTCTTGTCTGCACTTTTGCTATTTATAATGGTGTTTTTTTTAAAAATTGGAAATTATTTAGTAATCAGTTTTACCTTTTATATGTTTTTTTGTATCCTTTATTGTGTTATATTTGAATGCTCTGTAAAGCACTTTGCATTGCCCTGGTGTATGAAATGTGCCATACAAATAAAGCTGCTTTGCCTAAAGTGATCTTTAAGCGGTGTAAGTGTCATGCCTCCAAGTTAAGGTATTTGAGAAGTGCAAGAAGGCAAATCAAATCCAAGTGATGTGATTCACCCTCTTTCACTTTGATATTTCCGACAGTATCCTGAAGGCAGCACGTCTTGGCCGCTCATCCGCCCAATCTCCACTCCAGTCTGAGCGGTTTGTCTGGATGCAGCAGTGTGTCAACTGTGACACGAGCTCTGAACAGATGGACCACCTACATTTGAAGGTAAGTGGGCTACGGTCATATTGTAAAATGGAGAGGGTGCGGCTTTGCAGCACACTGATATGACGAGAAACACACTTTGTACATTGTGTTCCTAAGCGACCACCATATGAAAGTGGTGTGACTTGTGTTCACACGTGCTTATTTCGCTTAAAACCAGCAGCAGTGTTGTAGGTGAGGCGTTAAATGGCCACTAATGCACGTGACAGGACTGTCTTCATTGACGTGAATCACTTTGGTAGCATCATAAACACCAAAACACTCAAAACTAGTTGAATTGCATCGGAAACTAATTAAATAATCTAATGTTTCTTTAGTTTTCTTTTTCTTACAAACCACTAATGTCCACTGGGCGAACATTCCGTCCTGCGCTCAACAGGAGCTGTGAAGAGCTCAAGTTTCGGGTGTTTGCAAAAACTGAACGAGCTGGTTTAAAGGCGCACCAAGGCTTTTTCTCTCTCTCGTGCAGCGCGCGTGCCCGATAGGGGGACTGTTCATTTTTGACTCGTGAATGTGATCATTTAATCAGTGGACACGGCCACACCTCTCTAAACGCATCACACCGACACCTTGGTCCTTTCTTAAATTGGAAAAACATTTAACACTGCAGATGCGTGATGGAGGTGGTGCACACAGGGCGGCTGGATGCCTCCGTCCTTTGTTGCACCGGTATTCATGTTTACGTGACATACCATAAGGCCTCAGAGGGAGGGGACGGCGCACGCTCCCGTCAGGGGTGGGGTCTGTGAGGCTTTCAGGGACCTTAGAAAATATCAAAATCGCATAATTATACAGCTGTGTGAGGAGCAAGAACAACAAAGATGCATCAATGAAGGCAAAACACAAGACTGGGCTATTGTGTACACAAGCATGTGAAAGAATATGTGTTTATATAAATACAGGGTTTCCACGGTTTTGAAAGTACTGCAAAAGTTAGGAAAAACTGGAGAATTGGCATGCTGTATCGTCCAGATTAATACCTTTACTGAAGGTGGCTCTGAACAAAAAAGCATGAAGTAAAGAACATCTCTGACTGTGACATGTGAGAGAGAAACATCACCAAAAATGCATTTTTCCATCTTAGAAACACTGCCCGTGTGCAGCTTCTTTTATCTAAAGAACACACCCAAAAACGTGTTCATGCTTTTATGTCAGGCTACTGTGATGCCTTGCTCTCAGGCCTCTCAAAGAAATCTTTAAACCCGGGGTGTCGGAGTCACTGTCAGTTTGGTAAACCACGAAATGATGCTGGTGACAGTTACTACTGATGGACAGCTAATGTTAGTTTGAGTGGGATGCTGCATCAGACATTCATTCATTTTCCGCCGCCGCTTATCTTGTTGGGGGTCACAGTGGCGCTGGAGCCTATCCCAGCTGACATTGGGCAAGAGGCGGGGTACATACTGGAAAGGTCGCCAGACTATCGCAGGCAAACATTCATGCCCATATTCAAACCTACGGCCATTTTAGAGTCACCAATTAATTAACCTAACCTGCATGTCTTTGGGAGGAAGCCCGGAGAAAACCAGGTTTGGTTTCATTTCCAGGTTTGAACCAGGAACCCTCTTGTTGTGAGGCGACAATGCTAACCACTGCACAGACAGTCATCTCTAACTAAATCTCAGCCAACAGATCAAACAGTCACCTATTAACAGGTTGGTTATTTATTGACAACACTTACCCTAACAATAACTGGTGATTCAATATACATAATTGACAGAATCACCAGGTGTCGATATCAATACGTGTATAGATGTCCAGATAGTCCCACCCTTTTGAAACTTCTTAAATGACATCATGGCAGTGGGGTCATGTATTTTGAAATTTAAGGAAAAGTTTTGGTAAATATGTGTGGAAACCCTGTAGATAATATAGAAATATATACAAGTACCAGTGACCAACAATACAAATATAAGAGATGTCTGTAATTTAAGGCCTTTCATATAATTTGCATACTTCAAATTAATAACATAATGAAAAGGTGAAAAATGTCAATAATACAACATAATACGTTGTGGCACGGTGGTGCAGTGGTTAGCATTGTCTCCTCACATCAAGAGGGTTACTGGTTCGAACCAGTTTGCATGTTCTCCTCGTGTCAGCGTGGGTATTCTCTGGGTACTCCAGCTTCCCCTCACAGTCCAAAGACATGCAGGTTAATTGGTGACTCTAAATTGTCCGTAGGTGTGAGTGTGAGTGTGAATGGTTGTCTGTCTCTATGTGTCAGCCCTGTGATAGTCTGGCGACCTGTCCAGGGTGTACCCTGCCTCTCGTCCAGTGTGAGTTGGGATAGGCTCCAGCCACCATCGTTAGCAGCCCCTCCATGACGAGCAGTGTTCGAATAACACAGATTTTTAACATAAAGCTGCTTCATTCAGTGTTCTTCCTTATTTAAATCATCAGGTCTATTTGCTTTGTAGAGGAAGAGACCAGTGCTGATACTCTGGCTGACAGTAAAAACCTCCTGAATATCTGGATCTAAAGTTTTACTCCATTCCAGGCTAAACATCATCCTTTATCTTAATCAGATTAAACTCTTTTATGCAGAGCAGCATAACTGAAGGAATGTTATTGGTGCAGTTGCTAAATTAGGATCCAGCACATCTCAGAATAGAAAGGCAGCAGACAGAGTTGCTGAACAGGTGCAGACTGAGCACACACAGCCTGACAGGAATGCGTGACGGCTCCTCTGCTTGCCTCCTACGCTGTGTTCGTGCTTTCTCCTTCCAGGGCTGCCAAGTGCAATCAGCAGCGTGGAACATACCTGGGCCAGATGTGCCCCATTCAGATAAAAGACAGAGGAGTACTCAGACCTCTGCGCCATATCTCTTTGCTTCAGTCTTAGTCTTTTCTTTTTCCTTGTTTGTACAGAGCTCTACAGATTTCTCTCATCTATTTGTGTGAGCCAGGGTGTGACATATGGAGAAGACAAGTCCCTTTTTCTTATGTCAGATAGCTCATTCAAAAACGTACTGATAGTTGTGCCATTTGCTCCAATAAGAGTACAAAATGTAGTCGTTAGAAAGTAGAGATAGTAGTAGAAGAAGAGAATAGTAGAGAAACGTGAGTGGTTTGGAGTTTGTGCATCACTTTGGAGTGTGGTGTGGAAAGTTGAAAACCAGATTTTTCGGGAATGTTTTCAGCTTTTAATTTGATCTACCACAACATATTCTATCTGAAACTGCTGTCACAGCTCCATGGGGAAAGGGATGTCCCTCATATTTTAATTATTGAACCTCAATACTTTTTCATTTTTTTACAGTGCAAAAAACATAAAAATCAAAAGCTGGCATTGATTGTCTTGTCAGATTCCCAACCTTGTTTACTTAGATTTTTGATGTGATAGCTCCTGATTAAATCCTACTTTTGATAAATTTAGTCTCTCTTTTATTTAACCAATAAACAGGAAGTAAAACTGACTGGAGGGGAGCTTTAAGTTGTTTTGTAACTTTACTGTGGTAAGACTAAGTTGAACACGGATGTTTTCTGGAGGTTTGGCTTCAGTTGTTAAACTAAAGAAGGGTTTATAGGAAAACATGTTTTATTCTTCAGTGTGAAATTTTGTACAAAGTCTCAATTCAGGGAATCTGCAGAAACCAAGTACTGATCCAACACCAGTGTTTTTCCCCCCACTTTAAAATCCCTTGTTCCTCACTGTGTGGAACACATTGAAATATCTTATGTAGTGGGTCGGACCGTTTCAACTTCCCTGTTGAATCAGCAAACAGTTGTAGATGGTGTTACACAGGGTAGATCTGGCGCTGCTGCTTGCACCAAGCCCACTGTGACCCATGGCACGGGGGTTTGTGCTGGCTAAGTTCCAGCCGCTGACCAAAGGTTAGTCTCTAGATCTGCTGCCCACTCTCGTCTCCGCAAAGCAGTCCACAGCAGTCCACAGCGGCGGGCAGCTGTGGACTGCTGTGGCAATAAGGTGCAAATGTGCTGTGTACCTGTGAAACATTCCCAGTTGCACTAAAACTACTTTGTTAGGTTTAAAACAACAAAAAAAAAAACAATCATGGTTTCGCTTAAAGGAAGTATATTTGCTCCATCACATAACGCGACATGACGTGTGTTACATGACATAAGACAAATACAACAATACGTAGCTAACAGAACTCTACGTTGACTTTTGGTTTCACAGGGGACAAGAACAGTGCTCTCCTGGATGAAAGTCCTGTGTTTTTTTACCCTTCCTTGCCCTTTATACTACGTCATGTAGGTAGGCGTTTTTTTGGCATTTGGTCGTATTTTAACTCTGACATGCCCGATTAAATAAAGACTTTTTAATATTATTCCTTGGCTCGGTGCATAGTGTGCCTGAAGAAAGCCAGAGTGGCTTACTCCTCTTTTGACTACGTCATGTGACTTCCTCCTTTGGTGCAGTCATACCTACTATGGCCACCCAACAATAAATGCAAATATGAGTTGTGATATGCTGCTTGCATACACAACCTGTGTGGTCGTATTTTAGAGGAAAGTATCATATTTAACTAGCTATCGTACCTTCGTCAGTCACCCACAGTGACTGCAGCAGATGACGTGAGTCATGGCATCTATTTGACCTACTGTACTGGAGGAATTAAACTATTCAATTCAACCAATCAATAATTCAACAAGCTGTTATTATTAAAGAGCTCCATGAATCAAATGAGTGGAGAGAGTGAATTAACAGATGAGCGGACAATGAAGCTCTGTTTTCACAGGTTCTCTTATCACATCTCTGAGTGTCGCGTGTGAATGTTTGAACACAGTAGTTTATTGGTGACCTTTCAGAGTAGAGGTGGAGTTAGATTAGTTTGCAGAGCGATAAGGTTTGACTGGTATTCTCAGTTGAGCTGTATGAGGAAAGAGGAATTTTTACACTTGGATTTTATTTCAGAATACAGCATGCAAAGGATGTAAATTGTATCTATCGCCATGATTTTGGGAAAATGCACTCCTTGTACATGTAACAAAGTTGTGCCTTTCACATTGGGGTTGGGCTCTTGAAAATGTGTTTCACTGTTTGCAGACACCTGTATCTGTTCAGTGATCAAATTATTTTCATTGTGGTTGAAGTAGTCTATGAGTAATGGAAGGTTATTTCGCGCCAGTACAAAAGTGTCCCAACTGACTCTGCTTTCCACTGTTACTGGGGCAACTACAGAAATTTGCAGATGAGCAATGAATATCCAGGGATTCACATCATGGAAACCACTGACCATTCATTTTTGTGAGTGGTAAAATGTCCATGGTGTATACGCTGAGATTCAACCCCACCCTCCCTGGCAGCTGACCAGACTGTTATCACAGGAAGCTCTTATATCCACACATGAATGCAGGATTGACCCTGAGGAGGGCCCATCAAGTGTTTGACCACAACGATGGGGGATGGGTAGTACTCAAACAATGGTAACCATGGTTTCGTATCTCTGGTATGTGTTCACGTTTGTGTGCACACTTTTAGTGTGCACTGAGTCATGGTAGCTCAAAGTATAATAGAGTGGAACTAATAATGGGTTGGTAGTAGACTAGTAAGTGTTAAAACTCTAATTTATCTGAAACTTTTTTAAAACACTGACAAGCCAAAGCTTGCTTGTATCAATTATCATTGAAACATTATTAAATATAAATAGATAAACAGTGCCGCAGTGCCATTATTTATATACTAGTAGCCTAGGCAATTACATTTTTTCGGTTGTCTGGCTGTTGCCGCTTCTCAGGCTGCCAAATGCAGTTGGTTAAATTGGTCGTGGGATGTCAGCCTTTCCATTTGTAGCTCAGAGACTTTTGTCTTCTTGGTCGTATTATGCCTCTCCATGTCGTAAACTCTAGGGTCAAGGCCTCTAAACCGAGAATATATTGGGGTGGGATATTTACACCTGCAGCAAAGTTAGAATGACACTTCACAAATACAAAAACAAAAGTATGTGTAACTCTCTGTGATACAGACAGAAGCAGTTTGTGTAGCCGTTTCTGTCACACTGATCTTAGCCCCAGACTAAGGGAGTTGTTATCCTGAGACCAAGAAAGTATTCACACTGTCTCAATCCTGAACATTTCCAAATGGGCTAAACCCCAGTTTTAGCCTAGTACTTGTTGACCTTGCTCCAGAGCAGGGTTAGCCCCTGAAAATGGACTAAACCCAGGCCTAAAAGAAACAATTGTGAAATTGGGCTAAGTAAACAAAAATTTTTCAGTGTTAACATTAGTTGTGTGCTCTGACTGACCCTTAATCCAGGGCTAGAAGAAGTGCAGTGTGAGTTTCACAGCCTCGAGCCTAGGTAAACCCTGGGTTAACAATGTTCGTGTGAAAAGGGGTCAACTCTCAGCCCTGGGCTAAGAGAATGCAAAGTGAAAAGTCTGTACCAAGGGTAGAACTACCAACATGTCTAAGCCTCAGTACCTTTCAGTATACAGGGCTGTTTGTTCAAAAGATACAGTAGAATAAAAGAGTATAAAAGAAGCACTATTTTTTTAAATAGTTTTTTGGGGCTTTTAGCCTTTATGTGATAAGACAGTGTTAAAGTGAAAGGAGATGACATGCAGCAAAGGGCTGCAGGTCAGAATCGAACCTGCAGCTACAAGTAGCTGACGTAGCCTGCTTTGACATGGGGCAACTGCTCTACCAGGTGAGCTGCACAGCTTCCCAGTGCCCCACTAATTAGTATTTTTTAGCCATGCTAGCAGTGTGGCTCTCAGGATAACAGCCTGTACTGCACATTGGTCCAGACTAAAATATCTCTATCAACAATTATAAGATGGATTGACATTAAAATTTGTACAGACATTTATGTTTCCAAGATGATATTTTTTTTTGCACAGTAAAAAAAGCAAGCAAACAAAACCGACAAAATACAGCAAGCAGATTGTGCAGGTGAGATTTAAAAAAACCCTGAGAGGCTTATAGAGGGAATCTCACCATATCAGCATTAAGAACATATATTAATAAGTCCATAGCAAAAAACAGACAAACAAATATAAAAACATGGAATCAAAAAGCAAAGACAAGAACAAATAGAATTGTGAGTGAGAGCATAAGTGTATGTGTGTGTGCATGAGTGTATGTGTGTATGCATGCTCAAGCGAGCATGGGAGTGTGCGACTGTATACGCACGTGCCAAAGCACACTTGTATTCAGACAAATCAGTCAAATCCTTACAGTGGATACAGGATGGTCAATTATAGTTAAATGTGATCAGTTTGAAGAGTTTGGTTCATCAGACAGGACTGTAGCCTATCTTTGAAACTCTTGAGTGAGGTAGACTGAGATGCAATGTGAATATGACTGTTCCAAAGCTGAGCCCCTCTATATCTGATGAAGAATTGACAAAGCCTAGTACAAAACATTGGAAGATGTAAACATTTGGCATGTCTCGTATTATACTTATATACTTTATACCTCTGCCGCCAACACAAGATTAAAATTTGTTTTTTTATTGAAATCAACCTTCAGATGGGTCACTGATATATTTGGTACCTCTCTCTGGATAAATTGTCGTAACTTTGGTCTTTCTCTGACTTTTCATTTAGTGCCATCATCAGGTCAAAATTTGTATTTTTTTAATTTTGCCCAATATAATATGATCAAATACCTGCAAAATTCCTCAAATTGAAATCGCCATTAGCCTCAGCTGTAGCCTACTTTGTGTTTATTGCTAATTAGCAAATGTTAGCATGCTAATATGCTAGACTAAGATGTAAACATGGAAAATATAGCTGCTAAAAATCAGTGCATTACCGATGTTGGCATGTTAGCATGCTGATCTAAGCATAAAATACATCTGTGTCTAACAGGCTTAAAGAGCTGCTAGCTTGTTCTATAATGCGGAATTAAATAATGAAACAGGGGTTACATGCAGTGATGAACCTGCTTGTTTAGGTTTTACAGCACATGCTGATTGAATGGTTCTGTGAACATAAACTAAATAAGGACTTTTAACCTCTGTCCATAGTGATAACACTGTGGATTCAGTCCACTAGTGATCAGCTTTAATGTAATCTAAAACTTGTGTTTTGTCTGCAGATGATGTGGAGTGTTGTGATCCTGCTGGCCGCTGCCCTCAGTGTGGGTGAGTATCCTCTTATCTCAGTCTAATACCTCTGTTTAGCAGTTGTGTTCTACAGGACAGGACCAACAGGTTAGTTTATATAATGTATATGAGATGTGACACAACTTGAAGGTGAGGTTTACAGGGAGGTCAAAGGTCAAACTCAGCTGCTGAGTGATACTCTTGAATACAGGCATTGATGGTAGGAATGTGAGGAATGTAGGCCTCATTATTTGTTGGCCTAAAAAAAATCGGCTGATAGTCAAATAACAGCAGAGTCCAGGGCTGTAAGCAAGGAAAACTTCCTGTGCCTGAAATGTGTTTTGGGGTGAGGAGAAATAACTTATGGCCATTTATGGCACAAACAACACACAGATGTGGTGATATACGATGCAGAGCTTTCCACAAAGATACAGAGTAGCTAGCTAGTAAGAAAAAGTTGCCAGCTAGGGGGATCCAGGGGCATGGCTCGCTTGGAGAAAGATTTTGCCTGTAAAAGCCCAACTTTGGGGCCTTTGGCACAGTCTAATGCCACTATTCCATCATATACAATGATCTAAGTGATTGTATATTATGATTAGTTGCCTACCTCATTGTAAACATGTAGTGAATCATTGTAAAGTAGAATTATACCCTTTTTCCATTGTTACTCTTTGCTGCGCCGATTTGTCTTTTGTTCATCAGTTTAGACACCCGAGATGGACCTTCTCTAGAGTAGGTCCAAAAGCTGGGCCGCCCACCCTCAAGCGCGAGTGGTGACATCTCGCCAACCGCAGTAAAAACCCCGACGACCACCCTTCTCCCTCCAAACAAGAGTGTGCATTGCGAAACTCGACTCACTCTGTCTGCAGACCAAAGAGAAGGGCGTTTTTCAAAGTCTCAGTGTAAATCTCTGTCCTCTTGTCGCTTCTAACTGAATGTCTGTGGTTTGGAGTTCAGTATCTCTCCCGCATCCTGTGTACTTTTGATATCTGCTTTATCTTGCTGTTTCATGTTCGGTATCAGCTGTATCAGAGGTTGTGTGATGTTGCTGCTCGAAAACTCAACATTTCCTTTATTTTGCTTTTTGAGACTTTTGTAGTGAAGAATCTACATGAAATGTGTTACTACTGAATTGGCAGAACTTTGTTAGCAGCTTTTCTTCATTAAAGGCAAGTCTAATAATATGATAGACAGGCAAATGAAAGTAAAAACAGCCAGAGTAAGATGTTAGGTGAAGAGCTGCAGACAACAGGCTCTTACTGCACCTCTGCAAACAGCTCACCTCCAACAGGCTAACTTCTTTTACCTGCCGTGCTGTGTGATGGAAAAACACATGCAGCAGTATAACAGGGAACTTTAACCATAGATCAGCTGCTTTTAAACGTCATCACTCAAGACAGGCCAACATCAGTTAAAGACACACCTGTGCTGGCCTGATGGCCAAGCCAAGCCAAGCCAGCAAATGATTGTTGAAAAGGAGAATTAGGCTTCTTGTGTCGGTAGGATTCAAGCTTATTCGCGGATATTTTGCCTCATTTTCTTCCCACTGCCTTTGTTTCAGAGTCCTACACCGTCCATGACCTTCATGAGCGTTTGGCCCATGGTCGCCAGCTGAAGATCTATCTGCCCAAAAGTGTGGAGAAGCTGGAGTTTATCCCAGCTGATGAGCCCGGCAAGACCTTTCTGTACTGGGAGAAGGGCAGACACAGGTAAGAAACACTCAAGGACTCCTCGTGTTCTGGTTGTGGACAGGATGGTCATGGGGAGAAACTGTGAGTTGCTTCCAGTGTTGTTGCAGTAGATGTATTTTCATGTGACTATTGTTTTGTCCACCAGGACAAACAAAGGCAGGGTGTCTGGCACTGGCAGTGACCGTCGCTGGTACATTGACAAGGTAACCAATGTTATTTGTTTTAAGTCTAAACTAAGTTATTTAACCTAGAGTCTGCATTTTCTAATACAGTTTATTGCTCTTCACAATGTATTTATGTGGTCTGTGTGTTTTTGACAGGTAACTTATGAGGACCAAGGGACATACATCCAAAGAGACTTCTGGAATAAAGAGATCTCCACTGTCAAAGTGGCCGTCACACGTGAGTTAGCAAGGATAACGTGGTTGCTAATAACTTTTGTTTTCTGTGAACACAGTTTTAAAGGGTAACTTTTGTATTTTTAACCTGTATCTTATTTTCCCAATTTTTTGTGCCTAAGTGACTAGTGGGAACAACAATTTTTGAAACTGGCCCAGTATCGACTGAGACCGCTGCAGCCCGCAGCTACAAAACGAGCTACAGTGTCACCATTGTGGTCAATTAACTATAAATCAAACTTCTTGTTTTTGCCACTGACAGGCTCAGATTGTTATTATAAGTTACTGCAAACAGGAAAAGAATCCAGGCACTCCAAACAAAAATGAGAATGAGGAAGGAAAGATTAGATTAAAAAGCTTTTAATATAATGGCCAACTCATTAAAAAGCCACCATGTTTCGACCACTGTTGGTCTTCATCAGGGCTGGAGAAACATATCCTTCCTCATTCTCATTTTTGTTTGGAGTGCCTGGATTCTTTTCCTGTTTGCAGTATTTTGGAGTTCCCTCCTTTTTTTCCAAGAGCACCCGATACATTTTTTGATCTACACTCTACAACACAGAGCACCCAGTTATCTGTTTTTCTATCTTATTATAAGTTTCTAACATCATTATGGAAAGGATCCCTACAGAGATAGACGTGTTTGTAAGAGAATAAGATCCTGTTGTCTAAGCAGAAACAGCCCCTAAATCGCTATTGCTGAACCCACCAGACTCCATTTAAATTAACAGTAATTTTAGCATGTATAGAGCCAGCGTATTTACACATCTAACTGGGTGAGTCAAGGGTTTATTTCAACTAAACCAGAGTTGGTTATTTTTTAAATTGTGGATAAGACACACAAGATGGCTTTTGTGAGTTTTATTTTGCTTCTGTGGACTTTGAGTGAAGCGTGTTTTCGTACTCGTACTCGTCGTCCTCCGCTTATCTGGGTCCGGGTCGCGGGGGCAGCAGCCTCAGCAAAGAAGCCCAGACAGTCCTCTCCCCAGCCACTTCCGTCAGCTCTTCCGCGGGAACCCCGAGGCGTTCCCAGGCCAGCCAGGCGATGTAATCCCTCCAGCGTGTCCTGGGACGGCCCCAAGGTCTCCTCCCAGTTGGACACGCCCGAAACACCTCCCAAGGGAGGCGTCCGGAAGGCATCCTTACCAGATGACCGAACCACCTCAACTGGCTCTTCTCGATGTGGAGGAGCAGTGGCTCTACTCCGAGTCCCTCCCAGATGTCTGAGCTCCTCACCCTATCTCTAAGGCTGAGCCCAGCCACCCTGCGGAGGAAACTCATTTCGGCCGCTTGTACTCGCGATCTCATTCTTTCGGTCACTACCCAGAGCTCGTGACCATAGGTGAGAGTTGGAACGTAGATCGACCGGTAAATTGAGAGCTTAGCTTTTTGGCTAAGCTCCCTCTTCAGCACAACGGACCGGTTAAGCGCCTGCATCACTGCTGACGCCGCCCCTATCGGCCTGTCAATCTCCCGCTCCATCCTACCCTCACTCGTGAACAAGATCCTGAGATACTTAAACTCCTCCACCTGAGGCAGGACCTCCCCCCCCGACCTGGAGTGGGCAATCCACCCTTTTCTGGCTGAGGACCATGGCCTCAGACTTGGAGGTGCTGATTCTCATTTACGATAATAAAATTACAGTTTTTTTAAATGGAGTGGGTCGGTTTGACGATAGCAGTTATGGGGCTATTTCTGGTTAAACAAAAAGGATCTTACTCTTAAACAAAAAGGTCCGTCTCTTTGGTGATCCTTTCCATAATGTTGTCAGACAATTTATTTTGAGCCTGTTAGTGACCAGAATAAGCACTTTTGTGCTTATTCTGTTTGTTTCGTTGCTGCCATCTGCAGTATTCTTACTCCAGACTGGACCAATATCAAAACTTGTTGTTCCCATTAGTCAATTAGACACAAAAACATGGGAAAATAGGGTCCAGGTTGAAAAAATGCTGAAGTTGCCCTTTAAAGTGTAATAGCAACATTGCAACCGCTATGGCCAAAAGTCACAATTATAGTATAGTGGTAGAGATTAAAATGTAAAACAGCAAATGTAAAGAAGAGTAATAATAATAATAATAATAACTTTATTTATAAAGCGCTTTTCAAAAACAGGTTACAAAGTGCTTTACATATTAAAAGACAATAAGTATGCAGTTAGTGAAATAAAATAAATAAAAATAATAAAATAAAACACAAAATGAGAGACAATAAAAGCAAAAAGATAATTCAAATTAGTTAAAAACAAGTCTGCAGTAGTGAGTTTTTAAAAGGGACTAAAAAGAAGACAATGTGTTAGCTTCCCTGGTCTCCTCTGGCAGGTCATTCCATAGACGAGGGGCTCGAACAGAAAAGGCCTGGTCACCCTTGGTCTTCAAGTTGGACCAAGGGATGGCCAGGAATGACCTACCAGAGGATCTCAGGTTGCGTTCAGGCTCGTATGGGGTCAGGAGGTCAGCTATATGTTCAGGGGCTAGCCCCATACGAGCCTTGAAAGTAATTATTAAAATTTTAAAATCCAATCTAAAATGGACTGGGAGCCAGTGAAGGGATTATAAAATCGGTGTGATGTGTTGTCTCCTGTTGGACCTGGTAATGAGTCTGGCTGCAGCATTCTGAATCAACTGTAATTTGTTTAGGTTATGATGTGTAAGGCATGAGAAACGAGCAATGCAGTAATCTAACCGGGATGAAATAAATGCATGTATGACTATTTCTAAGCTTTTTGTTGAAAGAAATGATCTGATTTTTGAGATTTTTTGGAGTTGGAAGAAACATGATTGGACAACGGAATTTATATGCTGATCGAAATTGAGGTGCTATCAAAAATAATACCAAGGTTTCTGTGTGTGTGTATGTATATATATATGTGTGTGTGTGTGTGTGTGTGTGTGTATTTTTGTGATAATGTGACCGAGTGGTAACATGTAGATTGAAAACAGCAGTGGACCAAGAACAGAACCCTGTGGAACTCCATATTGTAATGGTCTCTGATTTCAACACAGAATGACCTTCCAGACAGATAATGAAGTCTATGATAATGACTCAGTGATGTCAGTTACACAGCAGTATTGATATAAATTTTTCTGACATTAGCTAATATTTTTAGCCAGTATTTGTGCCGAACCGTCACGATACAGGAGTCATGCTTTGTTCGTGCAGCTGCAGACAGAATACATGGTATATTGTGAACAACAGTGGAGCACAAGTGGATTGGCATGCCAGTCAGTCACACTATACAATGTGACTTTCTTTCTCTGTCTCTCCATTTCTTTGTTCTTTCTCTCTGTCTCTGTTCCAGCCAGACACAACTACCTGAAGTGTATAGCAGGAGAGAGTCTTTACATCTCCCTGGAGGGTCTTGACCTGGCTGATGCTTTCCTAACATTCTCTAAAGAGAGTGCCAACTTAACACTGGTGAGATAGATGAATGGAAGGATGGATGAAATGATGAATAGATGGATGACTGTATAGATGATGGATAGATAGGTAAAGCGAGCAGAGGGATGGAAGGATTCAGTGTTTTGGGGATGGATTGTTGGGTGCAGAAGTAGAGGGTTAAATTGGCTTCACTACCTGTGTTTTCTCTCTCAGTATTTCTATGCAGTGGAATATTATAAATGTTAGTGTTGAGGCAAAGTAAGGATTAAGGTGCCACAATTAGCCTCTATCTGCCTTTAAGCCTACGTATTGGAGCTACGTTCATAGACAATTGTGATGTGCATTAGGCAATCTTAGAACTAACCAGCAATCGCCTGATGATGGTAAGCATCTGGGGGCCAGTGGTTCGGGGGTTGTAATGTAACCAGACAATATCTGGGCCAAGACTTCCTCTTCCGTCTGCTGGTCATTTTGGCTAATCTCTGTAAATGCATATGGGTGGAGCTAACTTGTCATCAGACATAGCCGATGGGCTTCAAGAATGTGTTTCATCGGGGGCGCCGGTGGCTTAGTGGTAGAGCAGGCGCCCCATGTACAAGGCTGTTGCCGCAGCGGCCTGGTTTTGACTCCAGCCTGTGGCCCTTTGCTGAATGTCACTCCCTCTCTCTCTGCCCCTTTCACGCTTGTCTGTCCTATCCATTAAAGGCTGAACCCCCCCCCCCCAAAAAAAAAAAATGTATTTCATCCAATGTATTTTGCTATTTGGACTACAAACGGAAACCAGAACACTTCCGATACCAAAATCTTGTCCATATCCATACAAATGCAGATACCTATTCATAGTGAATGTGCAATTTAGGTGGAAGTAGTTGTTGGACGCCTCATAGGTGCCATTTTGTGTAACATTTTTAAAGCTGGTGAGACATTCCCTGTGAAATCAGATGGGCGTGCAGCGGGTGTTGCTCTGACAGGAGTTTGTCTCTCTCAGGTGCGTGATGGTGCTCGGGTGTCTCAGGACCTTCCGGATTATTGGGACCGGGTTCTGACCCACTCCATGAACATCGAGATCAGGAATGTGAACTTTAGTGATGAGGGCTATTACACCCTTAAAGACCGCAGGGACCGCGTGGTGTCTGTTACCAGGATGGACCTAACAGGTGAGACGATCTGATTAATGTTTTTGTCAGCGGTGATAGAAGAGTGTACAGGCTGACAAAACAAATTATTTAAATAGATTATAAAAGAAATCCACAACTGTACACCATCCGCTAAGATTTTTGAACCTGTGATGACTTCTAATGTACAATATACACCGCCTATAGTTAATGAGCTAAAACATGGAAAATCATTTATATTGCCTGTACTATGGTTGGCTAATGGGTAACAAGAATGTCCTGTATCTCCCCCACCCTCCCTTTTTTACACTGTAGACCATCATGAAGAAGGAAACCCTCTCTTGGCTCTGCTCTTACTGCTGGGCATCCCAGCTGGGATTTGCTGCTGCTGTCGGAAGAAGATTTTCAAGAAGAAGGCCACCACTGCTGCGACGCTGCAGGTACCAACAGTAGGCACAGACAGAGTTTGGCTTTCGATCAAAGTGTAAAGGCACAAACTGGGTTTGTTAAAAAGTTAAACATTATAAAAAGCGATTATAGTTTTACTTGAAAGTAAAAGTTTCACTTAGCATTTCATCAGCTGCTCCTCCACCCAGAATCCACCTGTAGGCTCTGAGTGTACCCTCCCCTAGCCAGGAAGGTATTATCATAACTTCCCACTCCCTCTTCCCTGAGCTGCGTTATTGGTTTTGCAGAGTGGTGAGTTTAGAGCCTGTACACCAAACATAAATACTGTACATATTCCACATTCATATAATAATAAGTTAGTGTGAAATGTTAGTGTGAAATGTCCTTGTAGACATGTTTTCTTGCTTTTTGGCCTCTGTGTACTAGATTAATTACATTCTGCCCCCAAAACAATGTAATATGATAAAATGGACAAATTATGTGTCAGTTTTACAGTGTTTTACAGTGAAACACAGTCAGGTGAACACAGTTTGTATACTTACTGTATATACCGTGTGCAATATGCATTGTAATTTATATAACAGAGTGGTGCAGGAATGGATCCTAAATCCCAGGAAATGAGTTAGCATCTCTGCACTTTTGGTTCCCTTCTCTCCAAATCGGTGGCTTTTTTGAATTAGTTTTTGGGTTGATGCCTGAAATAAGTTCTCCGGTTAACACAAGATTAAGGCTTTGACGTTTTGTTCTACAACATAATCATAACAACTTGTAAATTTTGAAGCCTTAAGGTGTCTTTAAAAGGAAGGATGCTAACAAGTGGCTTAATGAGACTACAGAACATCATCACGCTGAACACAGCTCTATCCTTGTGGTGGTGATGTTGACGTCATGTGATGATATTGTAATTTGTTTACAGCCTAGCATTAGCTTTTCACTTCTTGCAATTACATTTAGACTTAAATGATAAACAAAAAGTGGTGTTCATTTGTGAGGATTATCTTGCTGAACAAAATATATCATAAACTTTTGTTTGCCACAGAGCTTATTTTGTGCAATAATCAAAAATCCAATGGAAAAATCTCATTGGCTTTTTGTCAAGCGAACTTTGCATCAGCCTACAAAAATCATCATCCCTGCAGCACTGTATTTGTATTTATATATTTATTTTCAACATTATCAAGAAATAGTTTCAGCTTCTCAAACGTCAGGATATCCTGCTTCCTGTTTATGTCATTGTAAAGTGAATATCTATGGGTTTTAAACTGATTGTTGGAACAGAATAAGCTGTTGCATTTTTCTTTTTTCTAACATTTTAATGACTAAACTGTTATTTAATCTAAGAATATAATCAAGAAGTAATAACCATGAATCTCTTTCTTTGTCTCTCTCCAGACTACACCAGATGCAGTCCATCCTCCTCCCAGTGGTCCCACTGGACCTTGTCCTCCCTACAGCTCTCCTGGACAACCAGGAGTGGTGAGGATATATTAATACTGATCACTTTTTAAGTATTCATGAATTTTCTTACTTTACAAACATGCCTTTATATAATTGACTTCATAACTGCATAATGGATGTGGGTTGTGTTTGTTGGCATGTTTATACGAATGTCTCAAAGAGTATCTGGAATTGATTTGTTAATATTTACTTACAATCACCATTAAATGATGTGTTTTTCTGTGTTTGCAGATGTACTACCACGGCCCAGACCCTAACATAGTACACAAGACATCAATTAACACACATTTATTACATAACCACAGAATAGAGATAAGATGAAAGATCAACACCAGGCCTTGTATAGCTTAGTTATCTTCAGCCTCTGCAGTTTGTCTAGCCAATTTAGCAGAATGCTTGCTCCATGTGTGCTGAGTGTCAGGATCCAACAGCTTTCCCATGTCTTTCTGCTAATGCCTCACATTTCACTGCTTAAAAGCTCAGTATTTCCGTCCAGCAGCTAATAATAACATAGCTCTGGATTCTTTACCCTGTTAGTGTGCGTCTCATCACACAGCAGCTTGTAGGCATTGCTAGCAGATGTAATGCTAATCTAATTGTGTAATGCTAATCTAAGTGTTGACATGTGTCTTTGTGTGTGTGTGTTTTCCTATCAGGCTCCTACAGTCCATCCTCCCCCTGCACCAACAGGCCCAGGACAGTGGAACGGCCCCCCACCCTCCCCAGTTAGTATCACACTACAAGCCTGCTTTCTTAAGAATGGATAAACTTCATTAACCCTGTTTAACATGCTTTTTTTTAGCTTGAACATTGTGTTCTCCTCAACTCTGGATTTCCTGCCTCCCTGTTCCTGTCAGTGTTTACTGATCTAACTCGATTGTATCTGTCTGCAGGGTTTTAACCCAGCCTACCCACCCCAAAACCCTGCCTACCCTCCTGCCGGTCCAGCTATGATCCCCCCTGGCCAGCCTCCACAATGGAACGGTCCACCACCAGGCCAGTACCCACCCGGGCCTGCAGCTCCAATGGTACCATCTGTCTCTCATACCAACAGGAATCTCTGGGAGGAGTGCTGGTCGGCTCAGTATTTGACCTCTGACCTGTCAGCTGCTTTAGGTTGGGGGAGACTTAGCGAGCAGGAGACTTTAGAAAATGGTCTGCATTCAAAGATCTGAATGACCTACATGTTACTAACAGAAGGAACTGCTGATCTGACCTTAAACTGTTGGAGTTTACAAACCTTTCTCTAGCCATTAATCAAGTAATGGAATGTAAATGCTGAACATGTGCACAAACTGACTTTAGTAATGGTAATGTATTGAATATTGACGAGGCACTGACGTAATTGGCAGTGCTGCATTTGTAATGGGCATCAGGTCTAAAAGGCAAGTTCATAATACTGTTTATCATTATCAGTGTAATGATGATATTGGCTACATAACCAGCAAGTTGTAGCTGCACACCAAAGTCAGGCTGTCATTTTGGGGGCAAATTTGTGTCCCCATTCATTCAACATTTCATTGTTCCTTTAAAGATTTGGTTGAAGGATCCAGGTTAGGGCAGAACGGGGCTATGAGCTCTGGGAGTTGATCATGCTGCACAACACATGTGGCCTTCTTTCCCCAGCAGAAGGTGGGGAGTAAAACAAGGGGACAATAGACTTGTTTGAGATGAACGGCGCCTCCTCGCCTGGGAAGTGCACGAGATCACAGGGGGGTGGTGACAAACAGCCGCAGTCAGTTTCCAGCAGCCTTCTGTCTGTAGAGGAAACCACAGAAACACTCCCATAAGATCTTATTCAGATTTATTAAAATGTTATCAGACCCATATATCAGTTTGCTCACCGTCTCCAATTGATTTAAATGTGACAGAGTAGAAATACTGAGCAGGTCTGTAATTTCTGTTCATGGATGAACCTCCATTTTACATGAATCCTCATGTTAATCAGCATCAGTTTGCTGCTGTATATAATTAAGCTAAGCAGACCTGTCACTCTCCAATTCATCAAAAATTAAAAGTTTATATAAAACGTTGTATTGTTGAGTCAACATCTAAACCAATCAGCTGTTTTATCAGATGAGAGCCAGGCGTCTCTCGTCATGCCCTGGGTCCTGCAGTCAGTGGAGAGCAACTGCAGCACCCAGCTGTAAAAACTGTCCCCTCCTTGATCCCATGAGGTTATCAGTTTCCATGTGTACATGACGTCAGAGGAAGTCAGGATGAAGTCTGACACAAATCTCATAGCATGCATTGTGCAGCTATCAGCGATGATTGATTATGTAGAGGCCTGGCTCATCTCCAACGAGCCTGTTGTCAGCTAGATGTGAAGCAGCAAACACTGAGTCCTCATGAACAGTTTGTTCAACTTGTACAGAATCATATCAGATGTAAACTTGGCTTGGCACTCACGGAAGAGAGCTCTGTGTTGAAATGACTCTGTAGCCTGCAGGCTCGGTCGCTGCATGAAAATTGGTGGAAGATGTGGTCAAGTCTGGGGACCCCCTGGAACTCCCTGAAGGACCTCTGGGGGTCCCTGGACCCCTTGTTGAGAACAGCTAAGGTGTTGTGAATGTGTTACCTTAAGACAGGCAGTCAGAAAAAGACCTCATCCTGTTCCCCATGACTCTGTCATTGCAAAAATTTATTGGATCTACATGAATAGCACAACTGACCTCATTTAGATTCAAAACAACTATTTTTGCCAAGATATGACAATAGAGTGCTGCAGGAAAGAGTCAGCATTTTTGCACTTCTGGTTCCCTCCTCTTAAAGTCAACAGGTTTTTTGAAAGGGTTTTTGGCTAGATGCCTGAAAAAAGGTCTGTGGTTAACACAAGTTTAAGAGATTTTCATGTTTTGCTCTCCTATATTAAATACATCAGTAAATAACCCCCTCTTGAATTTGAAGCTGTCTCAAAAAAGGTGATTGCTATCAAGGTGCTAAATGAGACAACAGAGTGTCATCACGCTGAACATGGTTCTAAAGCCTTGTTGTGGTGATGACATAATGTCATGCAACCATGGTGTTTGTTTGATTATTGTCTAATGTTAACTTTTTATGTCTTGTGATTGCATTTAGTGTTAGAAGTTGTGTTAATTTGTTAAAATTATCTTGCTGAACAAAATGTATTGAGTATCAAACTTCTTTTTTCTACAGAGCTTAATTTTTGCAATAATCCAAAATCCAATGGAAAAATATCATAGACATCTGATTGATAGATCCTAATCTTGACAAAAATCAAACAGAGGTGTTAGCAGAGGAATAAAATGCCCAAATATATTAATAACAAATGTGTGTTTGTGTGTCTGTCTCTGTGTATGTAGGGCTATGGTCCAGCTCCAGTCATGTATAGCGCTGCTCCACCACCAGCAGCCAGTGGACCTCCTGAGGAGGTTAAGATGCAGAATATGGCTTCCTCACCTACCGACCCCTTGCTGTCCAACACACCACAGGTATACAAGCACAACACAAGCACAACACACTCTGGGGAGTGAAAGGAGTCAGCTCACGACCAAATGCAGTATTTTGCTAGTTTTTTGTCCCCTGTATGATATTAAAGCTGTCAGAGAGAGAGAAAAAATAAGTAGTTCTCATGCACTGTAATGCACCACGATTTGTACATGACCCTCGTAATCACGAGCCTGTAATTTGTATAGAACCCACGTAAACAATACGGCTGTGATCACATGACCAACGTGCTGACAGGAGTAAAGAAGGAAGTAGTTCCCCTAAGGCAGACCTATTCAATTGGATACCTGTGGGCCACATCCGGCCCAGACGCAACCTCTGAGCGGCCCGGCTAGCTCACTGCTGAAAATGTCTAACATCATTTGCAGGGAGCTAATTAGTTAGACATCATACAAAATGTTTTATGTGAATTTTTGTAAGATATATGAACTGCTGAATGAGGATACTGAAAACAGTTTGCCTTGGCTGGGTAACTTGAATCTCATTCACTGGCTGTACTTATATACAATATATATATTTATATACAAACTCGGGCAGAGTTCAGATTTGCAGTTCAGAATTTGTATTTAGAATTAATATAGGCAGGGGGTTACAACACAGGCAAATGAGAGGTGTCTTCTCCACAGGTAACAGGCGTAACAGGTATAATGATTGATGACTGATTTGACTGGCAAATTTTTCTGGAAAACAATATAAAAAAGAGGATGAAAGCAAAAGATGTCACCATAAATGTAGCCTTAATGGCATTAATATTATAAAATGGTCTCAACACAGTTTTGAAAGGCTGGAAACAAGGTGCTAAAAATGCATTAATAGGCGACAGATGCCGCGATTAACATTAATTAATATTAATTCACTGAACAAAGAACAAAGGAGATCAGTTTCTAATGACTGCTAATGTTTTCCACACTTAAAAACATGAATAGTAACAAATTAAAACACAAAGCGAGTGTCCTGCCTCACAGACAAATGAATGGAACTAAGAAATGGTGACATGGCACACAAACCTGGCAGCATGCCAGTTCAACACATAATAGATAAACTAGATTCAAAGAAAATAATCAGCCTCCTCGTTTCCAGGGGCAAACAAGATAATAAAAGTGGGCTCGCATGGGCAATCACTCATCAGGTCAGTCAATATGTTTGGCAGATTGAATGAGATAGAGTAATAGGAATTGCGGCCCTTGGATGCTTCCTCCTCATACCTGGCTGTATTCAGTGTGCCCCATGCATCAGGGCTGTTTATATAGAGTGCACAATGAATGGGAGCGCCCTGTGAGACAGCTGCGGTCAGCAGAGACAGAGGGATTCAAATATGTTGGTCCCAAACACTGATCCAAATTGCTCGCATGTGACAACCTACTTAGCAATAAACTTTACTCTGATTCTGATTCTACTCAGGGACTGTTTTCTAAGAATAAAAACGATATGGCTCCAGCAGCGAGTGCCGCTGCTTGTACCCCTCATAAACCAGCACAGCAGCGTTTCAGCCTTTTGAGCTTGAAACCTCTAAGAATCTGACAGAAAGGGAATTGTCAAATGTATGCTTATGAACGTAGAAATAAACTCACATGCATTTTATTTTCATCCTACAGGGTGTAGCTGCATCTTCTCCTGTGGCTCCTGTGGTCCCCTCCAACATTCTCAGCTCTTCTGATAGTGACTGCACGTTCAAGATCGAAGGAGACAAAAGCACCTCCTTCCTGTAAGGATGCGATCTCTGGAGCATCTTCCTCCCAGTCCTTCCTCACTTCGATATTACATCTGTGACCAGGCGCAGGTGGAAACAATGGACAGGATTTGGACAGTAGACTCTTTTCTTTATCTCCTTGCCTAGATTAGTATTTTATCCCCAATTTGAATATGGAAATAATGTTTTCATAGTCTAAATGAGCAGTGACGTCTGGTATAAAGTCTAGTGGCTCAGGCAGCTGAGTTTTGGCAGCAGGACTCAGTTATTTGAGGATCAAATTTCCAGAGGTGAGGAGATAAAGAAAGGTGTTTTCTTGAAGTGTTAGCATGTGGTATAGAAATGTGTGGAATAGAAATGTAATAACTTCTGAAGGGTAAATCTTAAAAACAGGGCTGGGTTCAGTTTAAGAGATGTCATAGCAAATGATTGTGGCTTTTATCCACAGTTTCACTGATTCCAGCCCCGTTTTTTTTTTCTTTGATTAATTTCTGTTTCTGATGAGCCAGAAAACCCCAGAAATCAAAGAGATTTACTCAGAAATCAAAGTCTAGGAGCAACAAAAGGAAACAAACCAGTCCGCAGAGAAAAACCACTGACGGAAAATCAGTCAATAGCAACAGCTAACAGACGTCTTGGATGAGAAATGTGTCACTGACAAATAAGTTGCCTTGAGGTGTGTTCAGACTAAACATTAGGGTGACCAGATGTGACTGGGTGAAATTCGGGACAGGCGAGTTGGGCGTGGCCTCCAGTACATCAGTGTCAACCAACGGTAAAACACATGAAAGTCAAAACGCGACACTAAAATTGTTTTTGTTTTTGTTTGTTCTTCCTGACTATTTACACACAGGTAACAGATATGTAACAGTTATTTTAACGACTTTTACAGAAGCTAAGATTGTCTTTAAGCTGTAGGAGCTTATAAGTACATTTTAAAATATTTTTTTAATAATTTTTTATCTTCCCACAGTACACTCTCCATCATCTTGTTTAAAACTTGTTGAATAACATCAGCGATCTGTTATTTATATAGCCAAATTCCGGCAAGAGGCAAATGAAAACACAATGACAGCCTACATAACCAATTTGATCGATTAATTTTCACTGTTTCAGTGAGTAAAAAAACTACTCATCTACTATATGTAGACTAAGTTATAGTTTAATGAAAGGATTTTCTTGTTTGCATATAGAGTCGTCTTTACTCTGGTGTCAGCAGCTTGTTGTGCATTTCTCCGTTATTATTAATTATGCACAACAGCGCTGTGAAACACACAATATGTTAAGTGCAGCATTTGCAATATTATAATATAATACTATATGTGCAAGTCTGAGCCGACAGACGACTCTTATTAACCTGGTAGGACCATCCTGATATCAGTCTGGTCTCTGTGCCACCCCAAACACTTTCAGTAGGCGGGAGTTCTCACCTTGACAGACAGACTCCTTCAGTGCTTGCTGCTTTGAGAGCCACCATTACTGTTCCGCAAGCTTTGGCCTGCATTTTACATCATCTACATTGTGATTCCCTGATTTTTCCCCAATTGGATTTTAATTTCTGGAAAGTGTTTGGAGTCCAGACTGATACAAAGAGCAAAACTGAAATGTTGGGCTCACGTCATCAGGATGATCTTACCATCGTATTATCTTATCGTATTATCTACTACTATAATGCTTAATGTGTGGGACAAACAGGACAGGATTCGGGACAACTGTTCATAATTCGGGACTGTCTCAAATTTCTCGGGACATCTGGTCACCCTGCAACACTTGAAGAAAATGTTTGTCTCTGGATCTGACCAGAGGTTTCTAGCTAGTTAACAGTCACTAACAGTTTGTGTATATATGTGTGTAAGATGTCTCAGAGTGATTTCAAACTTAGCATCAGCTAACTCATTGACCTTGGGCAAACTTAGATCCATCCCTGTCCATCTGTCCATTATATTTTACCTGGAGCACCAGGTTTGCTCCGGGTGCCTTTGTCTTGGTGCTGCTTAACACACAACAACCTGGATGACTGAGAATCTTCACAGACAAAAATGTCATACAACTTTTTGTAAGACTCTATGTTGGCACCAGATGATACAGGAGCCACCTTAAGGTCCTTGACAAATCACAGTCTCTGAGGTAACCACCTGGACCATTATTCCTGGTTGGTGATCTAGCCTTAGCCGTGGGTCTGGAGTTAGGTTGTGGTCTCAAATTCGGCAATACCAGTTGGGTTCAGCGGGTTAGGGTCTTGAAGGTGTACTATGCAGGATTGTTGGTTACTATTTGTTAACATGCTCCAATAAGAGTCACTCTCATTATTTTTTTTCCCTGCTAAGTAAGCGTTTTTCTGGCACTTTGTCTCCTGGATGCCTGTTGCTTACGGTCTAGCACCTGTCCACTACCTTTTTTTATAAGCCCCGACTTCACCTGAGCGCTGTGGGCTTACAGGTCTACAAAAATCCCCAGCACAGAAAATAAAGATGCGAGCAGAGGGCAGAGTCTTTGTAGAGAGTTACACCGCCACATACTTCTAGTGGGCCATATAAGTGATGATTGAGAGGGATTACTTCTGTATGACCATGACCATGAGCTCTGAGTAGTGACCGAAAGAATGAGATCACAGATACAAGCAATCGAAATGAGTTTCATCCGTTGGGTGGCTGGGCTCAGCCTTAGAGATAGGGTAAGGAGCTCGGACATCAGGAGGGAGCTCAGAGTAGAGCTGCTGCTCCTTCATGTCGAAAGGAGACAGTTGAGGTGGACCGGGCACCTGATCCTGGGAGCCTTCCGTTAGAGGTGGTCCGGGCACGTCCAGCTGGTAGGAGGCCCTGAGGTAGACCCAGAACACGCTGGAGGGATTACATATCTCATCTGGCCTGGGAACGCTTTGGAGTTCCCCAGGAGGAGCTGGAAAACATCTGGGGTGCTTTGCTTGGCCTGCTGCCCCCATGGCCCCAATTTCCGACTTCTGTATGAGTCTATACTTTTTTTTTAAGGGAAAATCCTGCTTAGTATATCTATAAAGACTCAGGTATGGTCTTGCTATCTGAAACAGAATTCTCAAATCATGATGTCTGATCATTTTCTGATGAGGAGAGTTGACTGAAACAGAATTTCTAAAACAATAGCTACCTCATTTTGGGATTCTGTGCCTCTTCATAGGTCAACATTATCAAGTTTGTATTGAATTTTTATTGAATATTTGATTGTATGAATTTGTGCGTCAAAGTCAAATTGAAATCACCACAGACCCCCTGAATCCTCAGATGGTAATTATTCCATTCAAATGACCTGGTGTGGTTTGAGGTCCAGCTGTTGTAAATGCTAACTATACCGTAAGAATGCTACCAGTAGAACCACTCTGACTGCCTTTGAGGGCGGCTTCATGCCTCCTTACTATTACAGCTAAAAACATATCACTCATTATCCATTCAGAGCCTGTGTCCCAGCCTTCTGTCACCAAGCCACAGTCAAGCAGGAAGTAGCAGCATTTATACAAAGTAAACCTGTGTGACAGTGTAGCAGCGTAGTGTTTGTCAGTTATTGCCTTCACTTCTGTCATAAACATGTAGGTAAGCAAAAAAATGCTAACTAATACAGACCAAGTGCCACCGCACCAACACGTTTTCAGCTCTGGTGCTTTGTTATTCTTTGGAGTGTCACTGTGTCCCTCCTGCTATCCAAGATGGAGGTCAGAAATCTTCCTACTCATCTAGAGCGTTCAACTTTAAAACCACTAATAGGCCTTTGTGGAACTGTAAACAGCATCATTTGATTCTGGAGGTGTTTAAATACAGTGATCTTTGATATTGATGGTCTAATGTTGGCTGAATTCCATTTAGGTTCTGCCTTTGATGTCCAGGCTACTAGGTTTTTGGAGTCACATGTTAAACTGGGACAAACCTTTTACCTTTGTCTCCTAGATCTGATGTTCCTCACATGTTGCAATGGTGAGATGAGCTGTGGTTCACATAATGTTGAGTATGTGATTGTTTTTATTGTTTTTTAGTAAATGTAACCAATGATATTCACAAAGCGTACATGTAGTTTATTGTAATGGGTGTTAATTGTAGTTGGAGACACGGTCAAAATGGCTCAGTTTTTGTGATATTTTGGAATCTGTCAGTTCCACCCACCACTATGCCAATGAACAAAGGTTTCCTACCTCTCATTTTGTATCTCAAATGATACAGCATACATACTGTATATGGATGAGCAACTCTGTGTCAATGAAACTACGCATGAATATGAAATCCTGGAGTTCCTGTCATTTTTAACTTACTACAGGTACAGTGTGTAGCAAGTAACGACATCTAGTGGTGAGGTTACAAATTGCAACCAATTAAAACTTCTCGTGTGCAAAGTGTGTAGGAGAACCATATCCCTGGTTCCACCCAAAACTTTTGGTATGGTACCTTTGGAACTAAAATTAAACCTTCAGACAGAGTACCTAGACCCTAGGTCCACCCAGCGTTTCTACCACAAACTCTTTCATGTGGGTGGGGTCATTGTCTCCGTCCAGCACTCAATGTATTTCTTACTTTATCAGTCTGCACCTGCACCTGCACCTTATCGTCCACAGAACAGGGTTGCACGCTAATATTTTCTGAACAAAATAGAATAGGCGGTTCACATAACCTAGTTGAAACTAAACGCTTGAAGATCCACTCATTACTAAAAGTGTATGTCATCCAAGAGAGACGATAAAAACTAAAGTAATGGTCAAAGATGTAAGGTGTGCTGATGATTCATGTCGTCAGCTCATGCACTGAGAAAGATTACAAGTTAACGTTCCACCTTAGAAGTCGCCAGAAGTTGGCTCAGTGAATTTATTTTTTTCTCCAACTCCAGCTGCTGTGAGAGGCAGCAAATCATCCTTTCATTTTATAGTTAGTTTACTAATATATGTAAAACTCTCCACTGTATGAACAGTGGTTACATGAGCCTCAAAACCAGCCACAACTCAGCCCTGAGCAGAGTAACCGTCCTCTATTGACCGATCAACGGACTGCAATGTTCACAGCTCCACCTTTTAGTACCAGAACTGTGTGCTAGGTACCCCAACAGAGGGGGGACCAGAAATGGGGACAGTACGAAATGGTTCCATTGGTACCATCCACAACTTTTTACAGTGGAAAACGGTAAAAAGGCATACCGAACTGAACTGAGCCATACCGGCCTGCTTTGTGGAAACGGGACTTAAAATAGCGAAAACATGAATGGCCCTATCCAGAGCCAGTGTTTGGTTTGTCCTTTCTGGGCAACATGGCGGACTCCGTGAAAGAGGACCACTCGGTATGATACCTTAAAACAGCTAATTTTAAGACAATGAAAACATAATTCTTAGTTTTTTTGTGTTTATATACAGTACAGGCCAAAAGTTTGGACACACCTTCTCATTCAATGCGTTTTCTTTATTTTCATGACTATTTACATTGTAGATTCTCACTGAAGGCATCAAAACTATGAATGAACACATGTGGAGTTATGTACTTAACAAAAAAAGGTGAAATAACTGAAAACATGTTTTATATTCTAGTTTCTTCAAAATAGCCACCCTTTGCTCTGATTACTGCTTTGCACACTCTTGGCATTCTCTCCATGAGCTTCAAGAGGTAGTCACCTGAAATGGTTTTCCAACAGTCTTGAAGGAGTTCCCAGAGGTGTTTAGCACTTGTTGGCCCCTTTGCCTTCACTCTGCGGTCCAGCTCACCCCAAACCATCTTGATTGGGTTCAGGTCCGGTGACTGTGGAGGCCAGGTCATCTGCCGCAGCACTCCATCACTCTCCTTCTTGGTCAAATAGCCCTTACACAGCCTGGAGGTGTGTTTGGGGTCATTGTCCTGTTGAAAAATAAATGATCGTCCAACTAAACGCAAACCGGATGGGATGGCATGTCGCTGCAGGATGCTGTGGTAGCCATGCTGGTTCAGTGTGCCTTCAATTTTGAATAAATCCCCAACAGTGTCACCAGCAAAACACCCCCACACCATCACACCTCCTCCTCCATGCTTCACAGTGGGAACCAGGCATGTGGAATCCATCCGTTCACCTTTTCTGCGTCTCACAAAGACACGGCGGTTGGAATCAAAGATCTCAAATTTGGACTCATCAGACCAAAGCACAGATTTCCACTGGTCTAATGTCCATTCCTTGTGTTTCTTGACCCAAACAAATCTCTTCTGCTTGTTGCCTCTCCTTAGCAGTGGTTTCCTAGCAGCTATTTGACCATGAAGGCCTGATTAGCGCAGTCTCCTCTTAACAGTTGTTCTAGAGATGGGTCTGCTGCTAGAACTCTGTGTGGCATTCATCTGGTCTCTGATCTGAGCTGCTGTTAACTTGCGATTTCTGAGGCTGGTGACTCGGATGAACTTATCCTCAGAAGCAGAGGTGACTCTTGGTCTTCCTTTCCTGGGTCGGTCCTCATGTGTGCCAGTTTCGTTGTAGCGCTTGATGGTTTTTGCGACTCCACTTGGGGACACATTTAAAGTTTTTGCAATTTTCCAGACTGACTGACCTTCATTTCTTAAAGTAATGATGGCCACTCGTTTTTCTTTAGTTAGCTGATTGGTTCTTGCCATAATATGAATTTTAACAGTTGTCCAATAGGGCTGTCGGCTGTGTATTAACCTGACTTCTGCACAACACAACTGATGGTCCCAACCCCATTGATAAAGCAAGAAATTCCACTAATTAACCCTGATAAGGCACACCTGTGAAGTGGAAATCATTTCAGGTGACTACCTCTTGAAGCTCATCCAGAGAATGCCAAGAGTGTGCAAAGCAGTAATCAGAGCAAAGGGTGGCTATTTTGAAGAAACTAGAATATAAAACATGTTTTCAGTTATTTCACCTTTTTTTGTTAAGTACATAAATCCACGTGTTCATTCATAGTTTTGATGCCTTCAGTGAGAATCTACAATGAAAATAAAGAAAACGCATTGAATGAGAAGGTGTGTCCAAACTTTTGGCCTGTACTGTATATTATATTGCAATTCTGCCAATATATACCCCCATATCCTACACACTGGACCTTTAAATTGCCTTTTGAGTATTTAAAAGATTGTCAGGGGCCATATTCACAAAGCTTCCTAGTATAAAGAGTTGCTCTGAGTGACAAAATTTTAAGAAAATTCTTAGAATTGTGATGTTTTCTTAGATTTTCCCTGTAAAGGTAAGACTAGGTCATGTAAAGATAGAAGTTATTACAGAGCATCTAAGACCTTAAAGAGCTCCTAAGGTGAGAAACTGATAGGAGCAGGGAGGAGGACTTTTAAGAGGCAACAGAGGAGAAAATGGTGGAAACACAAAAAGGTCAGAGACATATTCTCCAAACACTGGATGACAGTGAGTAAATGAAATGCTACAGATGAGATTGTGCAGGGATAATATGTGTGGTTGATCTCATTAGGATTAATAATATTAATAAAATGATCACAACACTAAGATAATTGGAAATCTGGAAAAATGCAGCAGTGAAGACTTGCAGAGTGATCACATTAACAATGACAAAACTTTCACAGGCAACAGTTCTCATTTCCACTGGGTGTCCACACCACACAGGCTCACAAGAGTATCTGCAACAACCAGTCACATCTGTTAAAAGAATGCATTATATTTAGCAACAGGGTCAACCACACCTCCTCACTAAGGTTAAAGTTTCTGTCCCTTCCTTGCTCAGAGTTGCTCTGAAAACTTTCCTAAATCCCTCCTAGGCTAGGACTCCTTACTAAAAGTTTTTATGCTAAGTTAGGAGCTCTCTGAGAGTGTTCTCATAATGTTTGTGAACACAGCCCCAGGTGCCTTGTTACTTGAATGTATAACTCACAGCCTGGGGTTGGTATATTCCCTGCTACAGCTCTGCATATACTCAAATCAACAAAATAATTTCTTATCAGGATCACATCTCAATACCTGTGATATGTTTTTATTTTATATATCAGAACATTATTTATGGCAGTACACATTATTCTCAAAAACTGTCAAAAGTAAATGTACCGGTCTTTGGCTTTGTATTCCTCTAAAACAATGGTTCCCAACTGGTGGATGGCAGGTCCTTTTTAAATGGACCAAAAGTGACTCGCGAACATGTCAGGTTGGTAAAAAACACACTTTATTTTGAAGTACAGTGAATTTCCAGCACAGAGCTTTTATTTCCAAGTGTTGTTTCCTGCTGGAGAGTGAGCAACCAGTGGACAGCTACTTTGCAGAGACAGCAAACTAGCTCGACAACATGTTCAAACGCAAGTATGACACTGAATATATTGAAGTGTGTTGACCATGAACTAATGACGAAAGAGAAATCTGGACCCTGTGGCTGGACCAGTTGAGAACCACTGCTCCAAAAGGCTTTTTAAAATGTTACTTTACCTCCCAAAGCAGATTCAATACAAGAGTAAAACAAAGATATCTGGTGGATTGTTTGAACATAAACACCATTAGTGAGGACACATACAGTACAACCTTCCAGCATTATGATTAGACATCCCAACAGACCGTGACCTGCTAACCACTGAGCTCAGGTCATTGATATGAAGTGTAACACTAGTAAATGAGGAACATTTAAGGCACTAACAGCATTTAAGAGTTAAGTTAAGACTGAATCTTATTGTCAGACTGGATCCCATAGCATTACAGAAGTTTCACGACTTTAAGAGAAGCTTGTACCAAATCCAATCAGAGCATGGATCTAACCTCGGTACATCAATCTGAATAAGACAAAGACTATAACCCACCCGTGTATTCTGAGAATTGTCTCTTATAATGAGGAACACCAAAGAGATGGACTTCATCTGACTGAAAGATTATCATCATAATATTCAGTATTGCTGTCAAATAATTATGGAAAAACACTAAATGGCTTTCTCTCCAAGAGTGAGATGAGAAGATTAATATCATGTGCAGGCATGAAGTTGGTATCAATATTGTCATCTCACTCTTGGAGGAAAAAAAAGACAATTACTTCCCACATTGTGTAATAAATGTAGTAAAAGGACGGTTAGAATATTGCATGTAAACATTTTTCCATCAAACTGAGGCAGTTTTAAAGGTAGAATGTAAAAAACAAAGACACAAACAGAACATGTAGACTCACAAATCACTGCTTCCTGGAATGACTAAGTAATCATACTGTGTCAGTTACAAATGAGTAATGAACTATTTTTAAACACATTATAGAAAACATCCAAACAATAAAAATGTAGAAACTCCCTTGAAGTTCCAGAAGGCCTAAAGGACACCAGCGCTCCATCAT